GTACGATCTATGTAGTCGTGCATGGCGTGACTGTACGTTCATAGACGTTTATTTGCGTCCATGTGTACAGGAGATAACATTAGCTGCCCATGGTTCTGCGCCAGGGTTTCTTCCCTGGTAGCCTGCATACAGAATTAGGGCCCATGGTCTATGGGCCCCGAGCGGGACCAAGACAGGGCGTGATTTTCCTAGTAAAGGAGGCTCCTAGGGTAGGAACTCCACTTCGCTGGTTCACAGACGACTATAAGATGCATGCGTTGAGTACGCGTCGCTACCAACGAAACGAACACTCCCTACCACCATGGCTCTTTTCAACCGACGAGGGGGTGCTTCTATTCAAGGTGGATAAGATACTGTTTTAAGTAATCATTGTTTACAGGGATAAACATACAAAATAAAGAATTCAACGCTTCGTCTTTCAATCGCGCGAAAGTCGTGACTTAAGCATGCCACTTTCTGGAAGGGTTACATCGTTCAAGCATCTTTCTCTCTCTGGACACAATCTTGTAAACAGCAGGAGTATTGACTGGACCAATTTTGCTGACTGCAGGAGGTCTCAAAAACTGAAATTGCTAAAATGGATACTGAATCATAATGTCTGTCATAAACATCTGGTCTCGCATTTCTCCAGGGTAGTTTTTTCACAATAGCTATACGGAACGACAGGAATGCTAACGATGCCACTGCCCGCAAAGTAAAATGCTTTGAATCTAGTCTACTGCCATTAACGCGCGGAAAAATATTAGCTGTCAATGTAGGGAAATAGTTCCGGACTATTGTGTGGTCCAAGCAAACGTAGACACATCACCGGGTAATGAAGCTATGAAACTGGTCTTTCTGTTGAGAAAGCCACTGAGAGTTCGATTGTGTGTTACATATGGACGGTTGACTGAAGTAAACCATGACCCCTTTTCAAACCTCAAAATCTAGTCCGAATCGACGCATATCTTGCCACAACAGATGGAATCCCTGGCTTGATATTCCAGCATTCGTCTTGAAGAGTTATCACCGGCATGGAATTTTTATTGCACATGATAAGCCTCTGTTTGAAACTGTATACTTCCCCGTAAAATGATATGACCGATACGAGATGACTATCGGGGTCATTCGGAAATACTGTAAGTGCGTGCGTCGACTTAATTAAACTGAGATTCTGCAGGGCATGGGGATGTAATCCATAGTTACTAATTTCTCTATAACCCTGATTCGCCTCGCTGGTTTCAGGTGAACTAAATATATGTATAGTTACCACGGGGCAACTAAAAATATCCCCCAAAATGTAAATATACATCTGGCTTGGGGTTTTGTTAAACTTTTAAAGGAATGATTCTGTGTTGACAAGAGGCTTGTAATCTTTTTCAGGGAGCATAATAAACAAACAAAGTGTATTTGAAGACCATCTCATAATTATGTTGTAGTTTGGGACCTTTCTCAGCGAAGGACTTCAATCCCTGAAATTCACGCGTTAAATTATGCAAGATTTTTGTACTTCGGACTTGTAGTGCAAGTGCACACTCTTGGCATGGCTTGCCTCGGAATGCCAGCTATCCCAGAGCCCCAGCGCCAGGGAGAAGTTATTTCTACAAAGATGATGACGCGAACCTCGCCGGCAATGTTGGCGCGCTATTTTAAGCGCGCCACGCGCGCTCTGCGGCACCCCGGCGCGAAGACGGTTTTCGTAAATGGGAGGGATTGCGGGTTGCTGCGTCCTTCAGAAAACAACTGCTGTACGGTGGCCAGAAAAAATATCGAGATTGATGGGGGGGGTGAAGTTGCACTGTTGGAGGGTGGTGATTATACATCGATATCGGAAGGGTAGTACTTGGCGCGTCCTTGTCGTTTGTCCTGCCGTGCGCGCGAGGGAACCGTCTTTGGGTCAATTAACTTTTTCTCCTCACAGCCTTCCCATATAACAGCATGTGCCTGTGGATAATGACACTTATTTCCAATCAGTAAAGGAGATAAGGTTTTTTCTACTTGACTCAGCATGGTAATTGCTCTGATATTTTTCCGCGGTCAACCACCCATATATCAACACAAAGACATCAGAAAGGTCCGCAATGTTTTGATAATTTATTTATATTTACTCGGTAGTACCACGGAATGCAAAGGCAACGCCATCTCTCCTTGTTTGTGTAAAATTAATTATGTTCAGGTATACAATAAATGATGCTGTTTGGTTTGATATTTTAAGATGGCAATTTTATGTATATGCATACTCAGTAAAGAACGTACGTAGAATATGCCGATTCTATAAACTTTGAAGTCATGAAGGTTCATTGGCTTTTCGCGCCCTTCCAGCAAATGCCCAACTTTGGTCTGTTTACCTGCAGCAACTGCGAGCTTTGTTTGATTAAGCCCCCCATACGCTACATTCCTGGCTTTGGTGGACGTCAAGGTGTTGAGGAGTGAGGGATGCGTTCGATGACGGTGTCGGGGCTATGGCGAGAGAGGTGCCAAGCCGCCCGTCAAATCTCGCGGGATTTCCCCAGACTGACCATCTGTCTGAAAGTGCTCGATTCTCTTCGGCGATCATCTGTTTATTATACCGGTCGTTAAGCAGAGACATTAAAAAACAAACCAATATCCATGTTAGTTTGATAATAATATTAATAGTTTGTTTGGTGACACAGAAACTGGGAATTTCAGGCGATTGCTATTGGACATTTTTTGAAAATAGGTTGACAGGGCTAAAATAAGACTTGATGACAAGTTGCCCCAGGCGATGTCAAGATATCATAACGTTCACATCAGGATGATTAGCTTTGAGTCGTGGCTTGTCCTTCAGAGCCAATATCCCGGCATGCGCAGGAAGACGGTTTCTTGGCCCGCCATTAATGAATAACGTGTTCGTTTGCTAAGGTAGGGAGATTTCCCGCGTAATTTCGTCCAACGCACCAAGGATACAATGTCTGTCGCGGGAGCGCAGGGAAAATATCAAACTTGTAATAGTCGTTTACTGGATAGCCCAAACTCTCGTTTCAGTCAACATATCCCAGATTTGGAGTGATTGAAGAGAACATACCAAAGAATCTTGTTCCGTATTGGACGAAATACAATTCAGGGAAACCCGTCCATCATTGATTGAGTGGGCTACGAATCCTAGGGAGGAGTGGTGGATGTTGACAGTTCTGCAGACCTCTCCATCATCCACAAAGCTCTAGCCTGAGCGCAGCGCGGCCAAAACACAACAGCTTTTTGGGTAAGGATAGTGACTAAAAAATACTTCGCGACTCCGAGAAACGCACGCGTTCATAATGAAATCCACAACAAAAAAAGTTGACATCTTGTATCGAATTATCTAACCACCTCCTGCGATTTGAATCGTTCATCTTCATGCGTTTCTTTGTTTTTAGTTTAGGTTCAGAGAAGGTAGTCCAAGTGTGACAATGTTCGTCTCAAACCCCCGCTTAGTGCACGCATAGGGTCGGCGTGATATCGAGCAGGCACTTCAGTCGTGTCGCCTTGCATGAGTATGCCATATCTTGGATATTTGATATACAATAATCAAAATGGTGGTCCTTTCCCTGGTAATTCGATCCGGTTCAGTGGATTGTGAATGGGTCCAGATGAAGCAGAAAATTGCCGAATAATACACGTGGGTGTCGGGAAGTATCGGGTGTCGACAGCTGTCCGCGCCGTCAAAGTGAGAGGCCGCAAACACTCAAGAGAGATTCACAAGAAAAATGCCGCTTACAATCGTATGAATCCTCCAGTTTAATAAAGTAATCGGCGAACTAATAAATTATTGTTTAGAGAAGATTTGGCTTCTGAATGGAGTATCATGCGACTAGCACTTGGAGGTGCGAGTTCGACAACTACACATGATGCAGTGCCAAGCACCTGTCTACGAGGGGCCTAGAAAAGTCCGTGTAAAAATGCACAGCCTTTCAAGAGACAAAATTGAAATCAAAGGGAAAAGAAGGGTAGTTTTTTTCCTCTCAAGTGTGACGAAACAACGTTACGCATCCCTGTTTCGTTTAACTGGTGATGTCTTCTTCTATGCATAGATTTTTCCATAACATTCACAAAACCAAACACAAAAGTTTCACATCAATTTCTCAAAGTGTTGGTCCTTTAAATATGCCCTCAAAGATTACAAATGAAGGCTGCACATTGTATAAGTTATTCCCATATTTGGATCAGTAAATAATTGATTAGTAAGTTCATCATCAACACACCATATGTATTTTGAAATTGGAAATTCATGGTTTCCTGTCTAGCTGTGTTTAAGTACTTAAAACCGACGGCTTTTGGTATATAACATTTAAGCGCAAAAAATTAACACATGGACAAATCCCAACTCTGAAATTTGCAGAATGTGTCAGTGCAGTTTTGGAAGCTTGGCCACGGCCAAACACATTTCCTATTAATCACCAACTCCCCCTTGAAACCAACAAGCCGTCTACTTTCCCCCTTTCACCCCTCTCATGACGTCTGCACAGGTGATGCTGGCCCAAAGTCATGAGATACACCATGGGCGTTGAATATGATGATGCTGGAAATGGCAGGAGTTGAAGTGTTCGTCATTCGGCATACCACTCGCTGTCGTTTGGAGTAAACTACTTGGATCGTACGGTTCATTGGAAGTGTCATTGATGGCCCAGGTAATAACTGGCCTACAAATGGATGACAAGTGGGCTTTGATGGATAACACCAGTGCAGATTGGGGATTTTGTTGAGCAATCACGCCTAATTAAATTGTTGTTCAACAAGTTGTTATTTTGACCAGCAGAAGTCACATTTAATATCAAAAGCCTTTCAGACAGACCCAGTGGCACAGGTTTTTCTCTGAGTTCCCACGAGGAAAGCCGTTGCCCTTCCCCCAACCCGGACTACACAGCTGGACGGACCTCCTCCTCATGCTACAGATGTCGTGGGTTGGTGTTTTTAAACCTTCAGCATCCGCCATCCACACACTGTCAACAAGCACATACATGTACATGTACAATCGTTTGCCGTGTACAAACGACGAACCAATTCTTTGGTGAAGCCAACGGTAACGTTGTTCGACTCTACAGTTTTAGTGTTTCAAGTGGTTTTTCTACAATAAGGGCGTGTGTATTCGCGATCGAACATGTATACCACCGGATATCAACCTTTCATAACACTGACCACTTAACATGATTACGAAGGGATTTTGCTTTCCTTGAAATCTTCTTCTGTAAAGGTGATTTGATCAACAGCGTTCGTCGAGTGTTATAATCGAGATGCTCAACGTCCTCACACGCGGTTTGGCCGACGCGTGAGAGTGGAAAACGAGTCAGCGTGGGCCCTTACGGTAGGTTTGTCTGCGCAAGCCGAGCTGATATCAATTCCAACTTAAGATGCGAATATCCCCTCCAATCTCAGGGTCTATTTTTAATGCTTACTGACGTACCACGCTGTTTTTGTAGTTCCGTTCAGGTGCTGGAAATACCCGTTAGAGACACGTGCCAAAAGACTAAACCTGATCTGTAAAACGTAAATCCAGCTTGCCCTACGGCAATCGTGCGAGTGAGCTCCCGGTGGGATCTCTTTCGCTCATATTTTTTAAAGAGAGGAGTCTAGCGTTTACAACCCAAACCTCCTTCGGTTGCATGGGCTTTCTGAGTCTCCTTTCCCCCCCCCCCTCTTTGTCATCTCAGTTTTGCTATCGGGGAAAGTGAGACGTTCATGTTTGATTAACAGGTTGATCCCCTCAAAGATCTGGCGGATCTTTTTTTTTCACTGTGTCACAGAACGTTAGCTTTGCAAATTGACCGACGCGCATGTCTTTGAAAAATGCTTTGACCATCGCCACATTTGTGTTATCTGTATATTAAAGTAAACTAACGACCCCCCCCAAAAAAAAAGAAAAGAAGAAGAAGAAGAAAAAAAAAACAAAGAAAGATGGCGGCAAGCTGACGGTCAAAACATGTGAATGTAGTCTTAATCACCAGTATAGCTCAAAGCCTCCAACGATGAAGCGATTTCAGCAAGGTCAGTATTGTGGAAATGGTGGTAAACGTAGGTCTCTCCGACAGTCAATAGCCACCTGAAATGTCCGTTAGTGGTCCCCGAAGGGTCAGATTAGTACTATAGTTCAAGACACAAATCTAAGTATTTCTCCAGACGTACGCTCCATATTCTTTATGAAAAATCATAAATGTCAAGGTGTTTTTATTGATGTCTCGGCTCTGCAACTTACCAAACGATATTCAATAACTGCAGAATTCCAATCTCGCCTCGGCAATTGCCACGCTTGCAGAAGTCGACGGCCGTTTGATGTATGAATCTAAGTGTGGATGCTAGACTAACTTATGATCGAATTAAGCTGTACACTAAACTGCTTCAAGGGATCCGCTGATGAAAGAGAAAACCTTGTAAACAGAGAAAGGTCGCAGTGCCTGGACTACCTAGCGTGGGTTTACATCTGGGGGAATTCTAATGTGCTGACTGAACCTCGGGGAGTCAAGCAGATGCACGGAACAGCCGTCGATTCTCCTCTGAATCTAGGTTCATCTCATCCCCAGCCGGTTCCAGCTCCAACCACAAGCTCGCAAATCGAGGTCCGTAAATTTCTGACATGTGACAGTTGGCCGTTAAGCGAGTGACTCTCCTCGCTTCGTGGCAGCTCAGCACGATCCGCTTTCTTTTATAATCCTTTCGCCCGTTCTTGCCATGTAACACCAAAATCTCAGATCCACGGTTCGAGCGGCTGATGAGCTCGGCATATCGTACCCAGCTCGGGCCCGTATGGTGATTTACGACTGGTATGTATGTTTTAGCTTGGCATTTTGATGATACGGACCTAAGTGCCTTCGTCTTGGCGGGCAGGATCGCAGGGGAAACATTGTTTCAGAAGGAAAAGATGAGGCGGGAGGTAAACCCAGATTTGCTTGGCGCGCAATGATCAACAAACAGACATCAGTTTGGTAAGTATAACCTGCCTGAAAAATTCTTGATAAGCAATATTTGAATCATTGACAGTACATGCATGTACAGTTGTCGTTGCGTATATGGAGAAAGGGTTTCATCATGCCCACACCATTTCCTTGATGTTGGTATAATGGTCGACAGATTGCTTTTATCCCTTCACAATGTTTATATGATGAAAGCCTAATTCAGCTTTAGTGAATAGAAATGACAGATACTTCGTAATCACCGCCGACTGCACTATCAAGAAGAACAAACCAACACAGAGCCGGGCCGCGTGCACTTCCTCTGCCTAATACGTGACGGAACATCAGAACAGGCAGATATATTACCAGTTCTGTTATGATCTTCTTTTTTCTAGATCCTGGCTAACGGAATAACATCTTGAGAGCAAGAATTATCATATGCATTCACGCTATTTCAGATTTTCGAAGTTCCGCGAAGAATCATCGCTGGCCTGAAAATAGGCCCCTCTATAATCGCCAAGGAATGTCGGTAGAAAAGGTCAGAGTTGACCCTTAGTGTTCCTTGCGGGGGTTAGTGGCACGACCCGTGTGCACTTGACCATGTTATGAAAACAGGGAATAAACTTCTATAATTTTGCAAGACACAATGTTAAACAGGCGCTTAGAGTTGAAACATATTTCTAAACGCTGTTTTGAAAATATGCCTCAATTAAAGCTCAACGTGAAAACAGATTTAGCTTTGATGGAAAAGATGGAAAAGCGTTTAGCATTTAAACGCATTCCTAAACGTATTTCTACGTAATATCCAAACGTATCGTGGATTAAACATGTGAAAAAGTGCGTACAAAATTATTTGAAACTCGAACCGCTGCTTTTACGGTACATACGTTTTTGTATTGTCACACATATATTTGAGTTCCATTTTTTTTCATATAAGGTACGGTTTGATTGAGTAAAGACCAATGCACTAGACTGTATGCCAAGGAAAAACAAATGCATGACCATAGCAAAAGTAATAATAATAGGAATAGCTCGATTAACATATAGAAAAACGAGATGCGTGCGTGCTTCGGTTCACCAGGAAACTTATCAACCAGATGACTCTGAAGTAGGATGCATGTTCCGTGAACATGCAGATTTGTAATGGGACTCAGAAAGAAATGGAGCCTAACATTTCAAGACGAAATGAATGGGACAGGGACATAATAGGAAAAGGGGGGGGGGACAATACATGTACATGCCATGCAAGACGATCACACAACAGATGGCATATCAGCAAGGTTGAAACATTCACCAAGTCAAGGTCCTGCGCGTTCATATCCTCAGTCGCCTTCGATTAGCCTTGCTGGTCTACTTCCACGTGCACGCAATTGCAATCTCCATTATTAAACCACTTCGACAGCTGCAGGAATTTGGCTTAATAAGGCTCAGGTGTAATCTTCGAATACTGCATGCCCACTGAGCATGCCCACCACAGCTCATATATCTGCCAGTTCCGTCATGCAGCGCATGCGCAGTGGCAGAGGTGGAGGTCAACGCGCGTGTGCTGCACCACACGCCCCGCTGGACACTAATCACAGTGGATCAATGTCCGAGGGGTCTGATGCGTCCTGCTTCCTTTGGAATGCTCCACTCCCCTGGATCGCAGAGATGGTCGTAACGAAGGGAAAGGTCGGTGAAGGATCTCCAAATAAAAACGAAAGAGCGAGGAAATTTCTGACAGCTCAAATGTAGTGCATTGTCAGTATCAAGCCATCATATGGCACGGATCCTACTTGAAATCTAGGGATAAATTGGTGTAGTACACCGCAGAGGGCGCTTGCAAATGTGCTATTTGGGTTCTATATTGGCTTCAGTGGCGGTTACACTTTGCCTCGACTGCAACGACTTCCAATGTTGCTGTCTTGCTGACGGATGCAAAACGTTCTAAATGTCCAGCAAAGGCGTCAAAGAAAATTGAAAAAAGATGCCGTCTGGAATCTTAATAAATAATCTTCTAAACTTGTGAAAAATGGGATTTGTAAACCTCGTATTCGCTGAACGTGGATTAAGGGGAGTCTGGTCCAGAAAGCAACTTCCCTCCACGCCAGGTGGCCTGGCTCCTTTGAACTTTCATCGAATTTTTACAAGCCGAAGATAAAAAAAAGTTATAGCGATGCAGGTAGGTATACCATCCCCTGATCGATGGGATAAAACGGAAGTGATTTTGATGAGTCCGACAGGGGGAACTGCCTCAGCAGCTGAAACACCTGCACGAAAAGAAAGTCATGAATTGAAAAAAAATCATGAATCGATTTTCCATTTTTCCCTCGTGGAAAACATATTTCGTGCTGCACACGAACGGTATGCCTTGACATGCTGTAAAAATGGTGAATTAAGAGTCGTGTTCTTTTTAAGCTTTGCGAAGAAATATTGCTGACTGCATGCACACTGCCTACGTCACTTGGTTTAATAAGAGTATGGAGGTTCAAATTTTTCTAAAACATCTAGACAACAGCCTCATGATTTTTAAATATGAATTCAAAATCTTACAGAAAAATGATTGGGTTAAATATGGACATAGATTTTAAATTTCAGTAACATTAAAATGATCAAACAAGCGATTTTCGAGCGGTTTGAGGTTTTCGAAGGGCATAATTATTTCCTCCCAAGATGCACCTTGGTTTGGATATCCATTCTATCTCAAGATTTTGGCAAAAAATAGAAAAATTTCCGACGTCAACGCATTAAAAACATACGTATTCCAAACTGTTTACTGTGCCCCTTTCTAACAAACGATAAGCTGAGTAACGCAAGACAAAATAGAGTGAAGCGTCAGGGTCATGGAACTTCTAAACCCATGGTTTCATATGGGATTACTTCTAACTGCACTCTGGAAAACCTACAATGAGGATGCAGACCTAATCCGATAACATCAAAATAATCAGGCTTTGCACTCACGAAAAAAAATCAGACCCTCATGTGGTTTCACTGAAGTCATATTATTGAATATACATCGGGAGGCAACAACATCCTCGCCTGCAAACGGTTAACCACATTCAGCATTTCAAACATACCTCGCACTGTCATTCTTCCACATGATGTAGGCCTATGCACGAATATTTTCATATTTCATTTCCCGCCAATAACATTATTCCTCCGCGCGGGCGTCGGGCGACGGGAGTTGGGAGACCTAACACTGCCTACGGGCTAGATTATGCGCCTTTAGACTCTATTTACCGACGGACTTAGCGCCGTTGGCTAAAACTAACTGAAAGTACCCAAATATGAATTATTTGGCACTACATGTACGTCAATGTGGTAAGGGGGCTGTACTGATTAAAGAATTATTAATCATATTACATTTTGGTACCTGGGAGAGGCATTCTAATGTGTATAGACACAATTTAGGACACTTAAAAGCCAAGACACTTTGTCAAACATGTATGAAATACACTTTTGTTTTCTAAATTGTAATTCACGATGATTGGATTATCTGTGCAGAGCCACTCTAAATCCTAATCAATATAACTTAATAAAACCATTAATTTATTCAAAATGTAGACAATAAATGTCAAGTAAAAAAAGAATGATAGATTGAATTCAGAACATCCCTCATGTTGGGGGGGCTGCAGGCGTTTTTTTCCCTTTACACGCACACCATCATACAAGTCTTGTGACTCGCACAAAGAACAAGAACATAGAGTGAAAATTCAAGAACATACAGAAAACATAGAGGCTGAACATTGTTCGGACTGTCTTGCACTTTCTCTCGAACGTTTTGGTAACCTAAAGCAGATGTACTGATGTCCACCGACCGTAACATTACCCCGCCACTGTGTGTCTTTTCTGGAGAATAATTACCCACGCGGCCAAGTTTTAACCCCAAACCCAAGCGACACCTACGCTGTATTTGAACAGTTGGATCGGACAAGAATCCCTCCGTACACACATTTGCTCTGTAACTAGATTTCTTGCGTTGGGACCGCCGAAAATGCGACACTCGATCTGTCCGCAAATAGACCAAATGCCCACACCGCACACCTAAACCATCCCACTGAGCGGGTGGGCGCGGGTGAGAGCCGAGGTAGGAAGAGATCCTGTCCAACCACGGCTCTCTCCGGGGAGAGTTTAACCAAAATGAGCTGCGCCTTGCCGCTTGTGAAAACTGGCCGTCCATGTTGGTGGGAGTTCGACACTCGAAATTAAATGTCAACATGTTGGCATTTTGGGCGGGATTAAGTAAAATTAGCTTCAGCGCGGGCTTTGTTGCTGTCGGTTCGGGGATGCACTGTCCAGTTCTATGTCGCTTTTATTCTATTGTGTATCATCTTAAATTATGCGATTTATATGGGAGACGGACAAGTACAAGTGAAGCATTTGCATCATTAATAACGACATCGGCAAAATTTCAAGACGAAAACAAAGTTTAATCGGGACTGGTAAAGTATAAGTGCATGTACAGACTTTGCATTTCAGTAAGGGTTACAGGAGAAGACGTAATTTTTTTCACCAAATTCCACTCCATTTAAGTCTCTTCATGTCAGATCGGACATAAGTAAACTACTCCCGGAACAAACCAGAGGTTGCATGTTTGCAATTTCCTTTTTTCATTACAATGCGATCGTCACTAATTGATCTTTGAGTGGGGATGCTTCAATTTAAAATCTTGGACCAAAGTCCACAGAGATAGGACACTTAAGATTTGGACGTTGATTCATCGATAATGGTCGTTGTCTTATCAACAACAAAAGTAAAAGACTGACATTATTAAAATTGCTGGCGGCGACCAGGAAATAGTTGCTTGGTGTATCTTGCAATAAAGTGGTTTCCATAGTAACCCAAAGTGCGAGTCACGAGTCAGACGGACCTTAAGGTTCGAGGGGAGATTTTCGATAAAGATGGAGACGATGGCAAACACAGAGAAAAATTCAGCCACGACATCTGATTGTCCACGGCTTGATTTCTGTTATTCGCATTATTCATTGCTAGTACGCATATTTGAGAGGGAAAAGAGACCTCCAATTAAATGTAACGCCGTGAGAAAGTTGCTAAAATGATGCTTCAATGTCGAGCAGGCTTACTTGATGAGTACGACAAAACGTTCTGCCGCGGTGGAAGTATGTTCGACAATATGAGTTGGTGCAACCATCAGCCTACAGATTGTGTCTCCTGCATGTAGACGGCTAGATGCTATCCAGACGTTATGTCTCAGTCATTTAAAACTATCCAGAGATCTCATGGGGGAGATACTCGAATCCAAGAGACGGTAAAGTCCCTCAAGACAAGTTGTCATCGACCAGGTACAATAATCCATCAAGAACTCGTCTTAAGACGAGTAACCGGGACGGGCTAGCTGATGACAGGACTAAAGACTTCACGCTGAGAGATACTGGCAATCATGCGATACGCCCCGTGAAGATGTGTGTGTCCAAAACGATCGTTCCCATTCACCGCTTCGCACACCTTAAACACTTGCACACTTTCAACAATACCATCAATCAAATTGCCAGCGCGTCTTGTCGCAGCCTGACGTTTCTAACTGAATTCCTAAATCACATTTATTTATATCCACAAAACTCAGAGCTGTTATTGTTGGGGTTTGGAACGTTTTATTTTAACTGCCACTACGATGATGTGCTGTTTACAGTGTTAAAGTCTGAACCATTGTTCGTGTAAAGGGAAAGCCAAAAACATACAGTGCTTTTTTCCCCTACATGTTGGAATAACTGAGACTATGTACTATTGATCAAACTTAATACACCAGTTCTCATTATTGTTGTAACAAATTTTGCCATGCATGTATAATTTTGATGTACTTGGGATTTCATTTGTCGCCGGCATGAAAATAAACTCCTCCTCATTAAATCTACCAGTTCTTCTGATAGTTGATGAACTACCTTGGTATCCGGATACGCGCGCTTTATCGTGCAACTCTAGAGGGTATAGCGCATTATCGAGTAAGTAAAGTTGAGGATATATATACGAAGTGTTGATTGCCAGCTCATGTCACTTTGTCACTTAAGTCTTGTGGTACCCACATCGACCACGGCTCCAAAATAAATTTGCTCACCTTAGTGCACTTGGTGTTGGCACTTTTGTGAGCAAAAGCCTGGTAGCGCATTAATGCCAGCACTTAGCCAGACCGATTCTCAACTACACGGCTATGCGTGTAATGTTATACTAAGTGCGATCAATCACGTATGTGGCTTGGTTATTCAATGGCTGTTTTCTTCGCCGTCGGATTTTTCGGTCGGTGTGGAAATGCGAGGACTTCATTGATGCAATGGGTGACTGTGTACGCCGGTTCATACCAGACAGCGTCTTCGGATACTTTCAAGGCAATATCAGATCGGTTCCGCGGGTAAATCTTGTTAGCCGTGTTCTCGCAGTAATCTATGGATTCATTAAAAGTATGAACACGTTTGACCACGTCTTTTAAAAGTACTCGATAGGTATCCAAATCTGTACGGATTTACCAAAATATTGTATAACATCTGTTTGGGAACAGCAACACCCTATGTTGATTTACACGCACGGTATACTGCACACAAACGATGCCAATGCAACGCATATACACATTAAAAATCTTACGTCCTATCTTGACCTAGATCCATGCCTGCTGGCAGGTTTCCTCTTCCCATTAGAAATTCACACATAACGATCGAACTGTTACTTTCGTTGCGGCATCATTCCTATGTCGTTATGGAAATTGTGCCCGGTAGCAGGTGGTTAGTGTAAGTTCTCAAGCTGACATTACACCAAGTATGATAATCATTTTGAGCTGGTTCTTCTGCCCAGCTGATTTCTTCCCAAGCACGCGTAACTCTTAATGCAACAGAAAGAGATTGGAGGGCTTCCAGGCAGCCCGATCACGTTTCATACTTGGCGCAAAATGACGTACATGGAACGGCACTCGTCGTGAAATCTAAAGATAGTCCGCTAGCAGGGCGAATGTGTTTGCGCGCTAACCGAGTCTGACCCGGTGGCTATCTTGCTTATATTCCCCTGACAACTTCTCCCTGACGCCAGGACAAGACTCGGTGATTCTCCCAGGGACTGAAGTTCCACCACGCGCGCGTTGGAGACCGACGATCGGGGAGGCGGCCATGCAAGGTGACTCCCGGCAAAACTACGGGGCAGTATCTGATGAATGCGCACGGTCGCGCGATGCGCGCCCGTCGCCGATGGGCCTTGTGTTTCCCCTAAATATAATTACGCGATTGTCCGTCTGGAAGCGAAGCTCTTCTTATTGAGTGACAGGGACTTCATTAAATTAGACACGAGAATGGCTGCTAGCAGATTCGGCTTGACCAGACTAATGTACGTTTAACTCCTTGAAAATTGGCGGGAAATGGATTTGTTACAAGCCGATGAAAATGAAATAGTTTCGCTGTTTTTTTTCCCTTCTGTCCGTATAACGGTGGCTAATTTCTCGGTCTCCGTATGACTGAACCTTCAGGATTGCGAAACTATGTCTTTAATGGCCGAACTCTGACGACAGACGAAAAGCAATAAAAGCTAGCGTCTGAGAAAAAGAACGAAGAGTCTGATGGCGCACTGTATCTCGAAGCCCTGGGGGAAAACCAGGATGATCCAAAACAGTTCTTCAATAATATCGGCTTGGTGTCAAACCACAGTTTCGACTTGACACGGTTAAGTCCTCGGGCTAAAGTCTGAAACGTCTTTGATCAGGTGAATGCGGGGGTTAAGCTAGCCTTTATGAGACTGGGTCTGAGATATCAAATTTTCGAGATGCAGAAACTGTTTATGACGCACTAATACACACGCTACAAGATTAAAGACCAGCAAGTCCATCACTAAGGAGGTTGATAAGTTCCACATTCTGTCACATATACAGGAGCTAAACAGACGCCAGAAAAGCAATTTTGGAGACCTTACACTTTATCCTGGACAACTGATTTAACCGAACCAAAAGGCAACTTGAACTGGAGGAAGTAGCCGAGGCGGGGGCTTGAGAGGACGCTCGAAACCGTGACAGCAGACAAACCCCAACACTTGAGCGATATCTCTCCTTGTAATTGGAAAAAGGTTTCTGGATTCGATGCAATTCCCCCCCATGGCAAGGTACGTCCACTCGTTTTTTGAAAACTTTGGTATTGGATATCACTGTAGAGCGGGGCGAACGCTGAAAGACAATGTGACTGAGGCAGAATATTAAGAGTCCAAATTGCCCAGTCGTCTGAGTCAACTGATATCCCACCTCTGACACTTGATTGACGACACTCACCGTAGGCTGTCCACTCGCCTGTGCCTCTCATCTGCTGTAATATGGACCTTTTGTCAAGATCACTTTCTTATAATTCGGAGACACTTCCTTCAAATTGAGTGGATAGTTTCGCTGTACAGTTTAAAAAATGCCCCGGTGTCCTTAAATAAGTGTACGAGTCGAGCGTGTGTAGTACGTTGTGATGTGATATCAGGGGTATCTAGACAAAAACGGGTGTCGCAGCGCTAACATTAAGCCTGAGCAGTTCACCCTAATGCCGTCAGGATTGCAGCTCGAAATCCTTTTTTGATGTGCAATGGCATTTCCTTGCCGAACAAGCGGAACAATCTATGCCCTTGGTGATGAGTCGTAGATGTTGACTTCATTGCCTCAATTTCATATTCATGCCTACCCTTTCGCTGGACAAACACCGACTTCATTCCCGGTATGTTAACCCCTTATTGCCCGGTTTGCTTCCATCTTGACTCGCTTGAAAATAAAGACCGAATCCCTACACGGCTTCAATTCACCTGATTTGGGACAATGTTAAGGGATCTCCCGCCCTCATCAAAGGCATTCCGTGTCACGTTAGGCATGTCTGAAAGGCGGAAATGTATTCCTGAGCGACTTTTGCCACACGTCTCATCTACCTTAATGGAATTGAAACCCCCTCAATGGGGACGGTAACTATGGAAGACATTCTGCCTCAAAAATGCCGCCTTATGGGAAAAACATCGACGTCATAAATTTCGCACTTAATTAATGTCAAGTGCTATCCAAAGATCGAACTTTGATTCATTGGGATAGATATTTACAGGGGTGTGAAAATTCAGCCTTTTAGCTGACTTCAGCTTTTTTGTTTCGATGTTGGCCCTGAATTTCAACCTTTTTGTATACCTCTGTACAAAAGTATGGAAACTTTTCACATTTCAGCTGTTTGCTAGCTGTTTTCAGCTTTAATTTTAAATGGCCACCCAAACCCCTGTGTTTAATTGGATATTTCTGGACACGTTTAAAGCGAAACAGACTTTGAAACAAGGAAGCCTTTATGGTGTTGATTTATACGAACTCACACAGAGAGATCTGAAATGAAGTTGTCTAATTCTGTTGCCAGAGGAGCTCCTAATTTGAGCTGTATATCCGGTCATCAAACCAGCTCAGTTTAATTTGTTATTAAGCTTAATACGTCACTTCTTGTAACGATACGATTGCATTACATTACACTTTTTTGGTTGTCGTGAAATGCGGCCATACAGGGAGGCCTATAAAAGCATAAGGTAACGCCCATGGGACCTAAAAATGGGTGATAGACAGACTGTTCATCCGTCCACAGCTCGTCGCTTTACACATCATATCGGTTTGGCATCCAAGGTTCTTTGGTTCTCATGGAACTGTCGAACATTCATACCCCAAATACCGCAGCAGCCGTCAGCAGATGCTTTGGAGTCTTTCCGAACCTTCGCGCCTCGCGTCCAGACTTCTGCAGCGGCATGTCCCCACGGAGGCCCTTTTCTGCACCAGCCACCATGTCCAAGTTTAGAGCGCACGCACGTCCCACCAAAAAGCCCCCCAAAGCCCGTGCCTGACAGCCAACGTATCGAGTATCGGAGACGCATTAAGAGATCCCGCACCTGATCCACGGCTGGTGGAAACTATATATCAATATTGTGTTACGACACTGTTAAATGGCACTTTGTTCTCAGATCCAGCCAACTGTGCTGGCTGATATAATTTGGTTAAATTTTTTTCTGATATATTTTACGTGGGACAGCGCTTGGCAAGGTATAAAGGTGTCAACAGCAGCCCCGGTCCATCTGTTCAATTTGGTCTTTTAATTGAACGATTCCTGTCTCTCTGGAGGATCTCTACAGATTTTTAAAGAGACATTTCAGACGTATCTGCCTTGATTACAGTGACACCGATGAGTTATGGTCGTGACGCGTTCATGATTGGTTGTTGTCGAGAATCATACATCTGCACTTTTTTTGGTAACAATAAGCTGTGTTCGACACAAACACCTAAGTGCAGTGAACAGCAGACTGGAGTAAACGAAGACGATATTTATGTCAACGATCGTTTCCTGATAGGCTCTAGCTCTGCGCTGGTAAGCGAAGTACGCTTAATACGACCGTCTTCTAATTAAGTGCCGAAGAACACGCGCGTCAGTGGATGCGACTGCTAGCAGCTGTAACCACATCCTATAGACGCGTGCGTTGTTCACTAGCCGTAGCCGAGCAATTTGGACGCAGCTCGAGCCTGCGAGACAGTGAATCAACTATGTTCACCGTCGACATCACTGCGCACGTGCGCGTTCTTTTCATACCTGGATATTACTGTTACAGGAATCCAATTTACTCAGACATTCGAGGCAAAGCACAGGCCCACGTCACCATAAGATTTGATTGGTTGGTCATGCATCGATGCAATGCTTTTAGATTCATCTAACTGGTTGGCGGACGTTAAAAAAATGCGTTAGGGGTCAATATAAGCTAGGTTCAAGAGTTATGTGTATCATTAGGGCAGACGAGCTTTGCTTGAGCAGTATTGGGCACAAGGAAATATTTACTCTAACCATGTAATGGATAAGTTATTCTGTCAAAACCTGGATTTAGCGACTTTCATGAGTCAATTATAATTATTCAAAGTGAATGCCGCTTCAGTCAAGAACATAATAATTATTAGAGACACCCATATAGATTTGTTGCTATGGTCTCCTATACACTTATACACTAGTCCAAACATTTAATACCCTTGGTTTGTCTATGAACAAACATTTAAGGACGGAAATGGAAATACGTAATAATTTCGAAATAGCCATGATATCATCCAGGGTTGCTATTTATAGGCTTATGAAACTTGATTCCCAGGATGACTGAACTTCTTGTGGCCGATACCCCGTCAGTCATCCAACCACCATAAGTTCTCCAATACCTCCCCCCTCTCCTGGTTGCTCCTAAGGAGTCACGTATTTATTTCCCAAATTGGTTTGTCCCTATTCCCTTGGGGCGGGCAGATGCTTGCGTGAACACATTTTGTCGGATCTGGCACGCCGTACCGGAAGTAACCTTTCGATTGACCCGCGTCGGCACACCATGATAACGCATACGTTGCTATCGGCATTCGAGGACTGGGGACCGCAATCGAACGGACTTTTTTTCCATGATTTACAGACAGAAATGTCGGTCGATCTGTACACTTATTTTCACCGAAGGAAAAGAAATGAGTCCCACAGTCCCAGGGAGAGTGACATCGAGATGCAGAGAGTTTGTACCGACTTCATACATCGAGACGAAAAACAATTCATTAGCCGGTTTCTACAAATTAATCACTCCTAATGGGTAAACACGTTATTAGTCGGAGTGCCGCTTAAACTTTCAATCAGAGGAATGCGCCAGGCGCCCCGCTGGTCGAAAGCGATCCGAAACGCGAGCCGGGGATGGGATTAGCCTCGCGAAAGGAAGACGCGGGGTATGGTCCGAGGTGGATGACACGCAGACAGGACGTCTCTGTTGAGGTCAACTTGGCTTGGGAGCTTCCTTTTTAAAGGAAAACCCGAGAGGAGACTTGGACTCCAAGCGGTATTGGGTTCGTTCGAGGGGGGCACCGGCCACTTCCTCGGTGGATCGGGCCAATGGCACGAAGCGGAACTACCGCCGAATGCATCGCCAGGACGGGGAGAGGGGCCCAGAGGTTAATTTGGGGATACCTGAACCAAGAGATATGGGAAAATGCTGAGGGCGTTCAGACATCATACAAAGCGAGGCCAATCACTTATGGCGAGGTTTAATACTTTTTAAATCTTAACTGCAAGTTCAGTGACACCTGCTGGTGAAAACAGGAGTTGAAATTATGGGGCGTCACTTCAGAAGATGTACACCTCTTTAAGGAAACATTTCAGCACTGTGAGACTTTGAGCATGACTTGTGTAGAAGTATTCAGGTGTAGAAATGTAATGAACCTGCTTCCGTGCGTAGGATCTTCTCAAAGGCAGCTCATGTCTTGCACATGGGAAATACACCTGGCAAATTACAGGCGAGTTGTATGTCGTTTGGCTTCATTTCAGTATCCCTCCGTCATTAACCCAATAATTTCAATGGCATTTTTTAGCGTGCATGGCTTCCTCTGGTGTCATCTCGACTTTTGATGGAAAACCCAACTGGAACGTTGGGCCCATGGATGATACTTATAGAGCGCGAACATTCGTTCTTTCTTTAGGGTAGGATTGAGGAATTATTGTATCACGTTTCTGGCGAGATCTTAGCCCATTCCTGTTTCAGGCAATCACCTTAAAGACTTGAAGTGCACGAGTAGCACGTCGACCGAAAATGCATTGCTTATAGGCAGTCTGGTATCCTGACACGCCACGACAGAATGAACGGCATCACACCGTAGCGTTTGCTACGCGGCTGTAGTTCGGTCTAGTAATCTGGATAAAACTTTGACCCGACTTTCAAGCATAACAGTAAAAAAAAAAAAAAAACTAAAAATGGGAAACAAGAAACCGGAAACTTCTCCGTAACGCTTCACCCAGGGCAGTATGCTCGCTGACATAATTTTTAACTGCATCTAGGCCACTCCAAGAATGGCCCAAAGATGGCCAATGCGATAACCCAGAAAAAACTGATTCGATTCCCTGATTTTGATCACCATCGGCACTGGGGTTTGGTATTTAATGATAAATGGGGCTTTACATACCACGAACAAGCGGGCATGTCAAAACCAGACTGGCAAAACATGTTTGTCCATAGGGAAAGATTGATAGAGTGAGCATCTACGAACCATCTTTATGAGCATTTCAGCCAACACGTGCACCTGTTTCGTGGTATGGCCGACGAAACGAGAGGACGAATAGCACATG